ACACACACACACACACACACACGCGACACACACACACACACACAACTAATATATATATATACTACACACACTACTCTCTCACACACACACACACAGATATATATATATATATATATATATATATATATATGATATGTCAGAACGAGAAAATGGTGACTCTAATCCAGATCCTGCACGAAGATACATTGTCGAGTATGCAAAAGCAACCGTATTGTATCACATCCATGTACGTAAATACAACTAGTAAGTCCATATGTAAGAGCACATACGCAAATACGCTTACGCATGTGTTCGGAGTAGATAAAATGAATGTATATTGAAAACCTGCACGGGTGAAGCGGCCTATATGTGTGCGATGTAAGCCAGGTATTGTCTGATATGTTGTACCAGGTTTGCTTGCATACATACGCAGAGCCCAGGTGAATTCGAACTAGCAGTAGGTACAGTGGTATCTATATATATATACATATCTCTATGAACGAAAGCATGCTTGAATCCATGTAAACGACACCCCGCAAATGGGAAGAATAGCCCACACTACAGTAAAACACACGCATACGACAAGATGTCGACATCGGTGAATACTCAGATCGTACACAACTACCTTGTGCGAATATACATAAGTCCTCCCTATGCGTACTAAATATACATGATCGATACTTGCGATACTATATCACCACCCAAACGTATAACAATTCTAAAAAGTACTCACCGCGAGTTTTCCCGACAATTCCGGTAGAAATTGGGTTTTGGGGTTGTAATTGGCTGGCAGCAATTGGCGCGTGTTTTTCAGCGGACCTTCGTCCTGCATCATCTTGTCGTAAATTAGTGACGGGTCTGTTGCATGTCAAGAAAATAAATGGGATGATACAGTTAAAAGTATTGCATACATACATATTTGTATATACATGCATACAATTGATCAACGAACACTGCGTAAGTAGACATAACATACGGTTGGATAGCCTTGTGGGTAGAGTGATGGTAAACAGTATTTACATGACCAGACCAATATACTATGCAGCTAAGCTATATGATTCGTCCCACTTATCTCCAATCTGAATAGTCAAGGATTGAATATATATATATATATATATATGTACATAGATTCGAACAATACGTTTATCGACTTACGGTCTCACAGCTTTATAAGTAGAGAAATATATATATATATATGCAGATGAAAACGTACAATATGTTTATCCACTTACAGTTGTACCGCTATATGAGTAGAGAAATACATATTGATGTACAAGAATGCGTACAATAAGTTTATCCACTTACGCTTGCATAGTTTTTCGAGTGAAGCAATATAAAATTATGTACATAAGAACCGAAATTATGAATATCCACTTACGATTGCACAGCTTTTTGAGTAAAGTAATAGCTTGTAGTGAAGAGCCGCCGACCTTTGATGAGTCATCTTTGAGCAACGCAGTGACGGCTTTCGATGTGATGTACTGCTCGTAGATGGCCTGTTGCATCTTAGACAGCCGGCAGAAGACCACTTGCTCCACTGAATGAGATGGCAATATATACATATATATATATATATATAAATATAATAAAAATATATAAATACATA